GGGCGTCCGGTGAAGAACGGCTGGGCGAGTGGGGAGTGGACGTCCGGTGTGAAGACGGACTGGGCGTAGTGGGGAGTGGACGTCCGGTGAAGCACGACTGGGCGTAGTGGGGAGTGGACGTCCGGTGAAGCACGACTGGGCGTAGTGGGGAGTGGACGTCCGGTGAAGCACGACTGGGCGTAGTGGGGAGTGGACGTCCGGTGAAGCACGCTGGCGTAGTGGGGGGAGTGGACGTCCGGTGAAGCACGCTGGGGTGTGGGGAGTGGACATCCGGTGAAGCACGACTGGGCGTAGGGGGAGGACGTCCGTGTGTGAAGCACGGCTGGGCGTAGTGGGGAGTGGACGTCCGGTGAAGCACGGCTGGGCGTAGTGGGGAGTGGACGTCCGGTGAAAGCACGACTGGGCGTAGGAGGGAGTGGACGTCGGTGAAGCACGACTGGGCGTAGTGGGGAGTGAACGTCCGGTGAAGCACGCTGGCGTAGTGGGGAGTGACGTCCGGTGAAGCACGACTGGGGGCGTAGTGGGGAGGACACGTGGTGAAGCACGACTGGACGTAGGGGGAGTAGTGACGTCCGGTGAAGCACGACTGGGCGTAGTGGGGAGTGGATCCGGTGAAGCACGCTGGGCCGTAGTGGGGAGTGGACGTCCGGTGAAGCACGGCTGGGCCTAGTGGGGAGTGGACGTCCGGTTGAAGCACGACTGGGCGTAGTGGGGAGTGGACGTCCGGTGAAGCACGACTGGACGTAGTGGGGAGTGGACGTCCGGTGAAGCACGACTGGGCGTAGTGGGGAGTGGACGTCCGGTGAAGCACGACTGGGCGTAGGGGAGTGGACGTCCGGTGAAGCACGCTGGGCGTAGGGGAGTGGACGTCCGGTGAAACGCTGGGCGTAGTGGGGAGTGGACGTCCGGTGAAGCACGACTGGACGTAGTGGGGAGTGGACGTCCGGTGAAGCACGACTGGACGTAGTGGGGAGTGGACGTCCGGTGAAGCACGACTGGGCGTAGTGGGGAGTGGACGTCCGGTGAAGCACGACTGGACGTAGTGGGGAGTGAACGTCCGGTGAAGCACGACTGGACGTAGTGGGGAGTGGACGTCCGGTGAAGCACGGCTGGGCGTAGTGGGGAGTGAACGTCCGGTGAAGCACGACTGGGCGTAGTGGGGAGTGGACGTCCGGTGAAGCACGACTGGGCGTAGTGGGGAGTGGACGTCTGGTGAAGCACGACTGGGCGTAGTGGGGAGTGGACGTCCGGTGAAGCACGACTGGACGTAGTGGGGAGTGGACGTCCGGTGAAGCACGACTGGGCGTAGTGGGGGTGAGACGTCCGGTGAAGCACGACTGGCGTAGTGGGGAGTGGGCGTGCGGAGAAGGACGACTGGGCGTAGTGGGGAGTGGACGTCCGGTGAACTGGTAGTGGGGAGTGATCGTCCGGTGAAGCAACGACTGGGCGTAGTGGGGAGTGGACGTCCGGTGAAGCACGACTGGACGTAGTGGGGAGTGGACGTCCGGTGAAGCACGACTGGGCGTAGTGGGGAGTGGACGTCCGGTGAAGCAGGGCTCGCTTGGTTAAGAAAGCCTGGCACGCGGTGGAAGTGAACTGGGGTGTACCGTCGGACCTGAGAAATTCCGAGGCGTTCCGAGTTCACGAAGGACGGCTGCCCGCACAGGCGAAGGAGTTACGAGACGACAGCCGTACACCACCAGGTCATTAGCCAAGGGATGACGAGACGGCAGTCGGCCACCATCTGGTCATCGTCGACGGTCATTTGAGCATGAACGGGCCAGTAGAAAAGGATTGACTGACACAGATCGGACTTGTTGGGTAAGAAGCCTTGAAGCGCTGCGTTGAGTGGAACGCTGGCTTCTTCATCGCGATTGGCGGCATTGCCCACGTGCTGCAGGTGGATGTTGGGTAGGAAGCCTTGAAACGCCGCATCGAGTGGAACGCTGGCTTCTTCATCACCATTGGCGGCCTCGCGCACGTGTTGCAGGTGGATGGCGATGCATGACTCGTCGAGCACGCAGGCCGTGATAGCCGACGCGGCGGAGGCGTCGATGTCCTCCGCCATTGCATCGTCGTCGATAGGCTCGGCTACCGGAGACCGGCTGAGCGCGTCGACGGCTGCATGGAGCTTTTCCAGGCGCCAGGACGAGCTGATGTGAATCTCTGATATTTTTGCTCGCAGGCTCTGGAGACGCGGATTCTCGATTTCGTCCAGTTATTTTTCCATTGATGATGGAAACCAATGAGCGACGGTTGACGATACGATCCAGGCGTGGGAGGCCGACTACGAAGAGGCGACATCAACGAATGGCCCAAGCTACTGCCAGCAGTTTCAGGTCCATGGTAGCACCGCGGCTCTCGGCGTCGGTTTGAAGCCGGGACCCGGCTTGGATCGCTCCCCGGGTGCCGTCAGGAATCAGGATGTGTCTGCTGCAGAAGGAAGTCGAGCTCTTTGGGTCGGCTGGTATCGGTTGATAGCAGGGTAGGGCGTGATTGGTCAAAGTACGACAGCGTGTGCACTGATAACAGAGCTGCCCTCGTTGCCATGAGCGCCCTCTCGTGACTGGCATCCCAGACGAAGCTTCATCTTAAGACCAGCAGGTGGCGCAGCGGTTCCAACAGTTTTGCGGTGTCCTCGCAGAGCGGTACTACCTCGTTCTCGAGCCCGATGGAGCTTCTGAGAACAGTGAGTAGCTGCGGGACTAGGAATGACGCGATCGCCTTGATCGACGCCGGGGCCGGGACGTCGCTATATACTGAGCCGATGAAACCGGCAGACGTAACGCTTCCCCGCGTGTGCTGCGTCTTAGTCGGGCTCGCGATGGCCGGGGCTGCTGGTGGCCGGGCGGGGCCGCGTCGGCCAACGGCGCGGCGTCGCCGTGGTCCGGTGCGAGCTGACGACTGAGGCCGCGCGTGGACGAATTATGCGGGGGCACGGCTGGGAAAATCAGGTTCCGAGCGATCGCGCGGATTTGCTTCGAGCACGTGTCCCGTACCACGCAGAGGTTCCTGGTGGTCCCGCAGACGAGTGGGGGACGGCACACTCCCGGGATGATGCGCAGTGTCGGAGACCGTGACGTCACCGACTCGGATGGTGACATGCAGGCTGCCGCGTGACCCGGGTATGTGTCCGCCGTCGGCGCAGGGATGGGTCGACGGCGGCTGCGTATTGTCGTTGGGCTTTCCAGCGGGGTTGGCAAAGTCCAGGCCGGCAACGCATGCGTCGGCTTCAGTGTCCGGCAGCGCTAGCATGCTGGTGCTCTCCCTGCTGGGCACACGCACTCTCACGGTCGGCACCGATCCAGTGGAGACCGTTGCTGGGGTAACGGCGGAGGCCAGCGACTGGTGGCTGCAGCGGGGGCTGCGGCACATTCTTGAGATGTGGCCATCCCTCACGCAGTTGTAGGATGCGTGGTCGGCGGCCGGGCAGAGAGCCGAGCGCCCGTGGCGAATGCCACAGTTCCTGCAGGCTGGCGGTGCCGGAAGCTCCCCCTTCCCCAGTTCAGTGGCGCCAGCCCCCACGAGCGTCGGGGAGCGGTAGGGCTGTGCCACTGAAGCCAGACGCCGCGAGGTCGTGGGGCGCGACTGGCCAGCGCCGGCGGGCCCGGCCGAGGCTCGGCATACGGGCGCGGCTGTCCGCGCTACCGCAACGTCACGGGCAGCGGCCTCCTCCGACTGACATGCCTGGGTGGCCTGGAGACCTAGGGACAAGCGCGAAACAACCACGATTCTGTCGCAAAATAGCGACTCCTGCACGTGCCGCAAACGTTGCACCCGCGGCTGAGGCCACGTAGACGCGTGGCGAGGTCGTCGAACGACTTATCATCGAGTTGCTCGCACAGATTGAATTTACGGCATTACAGAATTTCATTCACGTGGCCGCGGGCGCAGCTTCTCAGGTGGCTGAGGGCGGTGGTGAGGTTGATCTTGTGGTGCTCCGGAAGGGTCTAATTCGCCACGCCTGTCAGGACCTCATCCGATAGGCAGGGCCGAAGGATCACCATCCGCAGAGCTGGTGGCCTGCCCTCCAGCCCTGCAAGCATGGCGTAGGCGTCTCACCGCTGACGCCACCTCCGGTGCGCTGCCCCGCGGTCACCAGTGAGCTCCAGACGGTGCGGTTTCTCGTCTAGCGCCAGCGAGGCCGACGCGCCACTCAGCACCGGTGTCGAGGTCGGCGGCCCGGCGCATCGTCATTGTCCTGACTGCTACTGGGCAGCGACACTGATGCGGGGTCGACCCTTGCGGGCCGGGAGTCTGTCGGCCGCGCCATGTTCGAGTCTTATTTCAATGCCGAGTCTCGGGTCAGTTGCAGGGTCGAGACGCGACGAGTACCTGAAAAAGACTGTCTTCGCCCGCCAGGCGCACTGCCACCTAGCGTGTGTCCCGGCTAACTAATAAGTCGTGTCCGTCGAGTAGACAGCCTGATTCGCACAGGTTAGAACACTGTCGAATTCAAACTTCCATTTGTAAAGGGAATAATTGATTCTAGGAACCTATGTTTTCAGATGGAAAGCCTGATTTTCTGGCTCTCTGCATCAACGTTAAAAAGTTGACTTTTTACCTTTAGAAAGCTGGCATGATTAGGAAATTAGCTTCGCGTTGAGGCTTAGGCAGAGGTCTGGTGTAATGGCTTGTTTGTACACCTACAATTTCCGGCTAGGTGCAGGCCGGCTTCATAAAGTGTCTGCTAAATACGCTAAAATTTGCCGTCAAAAGCTGCAGCCAACTAGAACCAGGGGTTTGATTAGCACGCTGGTGCATCCGCAGTGACACGCGCAGACCGCTGTTAACTGGGTGGCCCGATGGCTCCGCAGGAAACTTCAGTGATTTAACCGCTACTTCCCCACAAATCTCGGGTTATATGAGCACTGTAAGACTTGAGCCGGTCGCTGTTTTAAGTTCAAAGAGCATCCTCCGTAACTACAAATTAGTTTCTAAGATTGCGGAAACCACTGTAACGTCCTTGCAAAATGCAAAGTCATGACAGAAGCAAATCATTTTTATAAACATGTATTAAACAGAATGTGGTCTGGGGTTGCACATTTCACATCAGAGATTCAAAATCATGCTGGAATATAAAAGCCCTCAGCTAACCTACACACGCAAACACAGACAATAGATGTACACAGCTAACCTTCACACGCAAACACAGGCAACTAACTTTGCGATTCTAGAGGTGTCGCCCTTCATCCATGCGAGAGCACTCATGTAGTCCGGAGCGTTTCGCCCGCGGCTAGTTCCACCCTACCGCACCGTTCGGACAACGCGCCGAAGACGACAGCACGACGCCAATACCGTGCTGGATGACGAAAATCCCGCCGTGTTCGTTATCCGTTACAACGTGGTGCTCAACGCCGAGATGAGCTCGGTGTTGAGCACCGACCAACTAAAACAGACACAGGGTCCGCAAAAATTCTGACGAGTCAAATGATGAACCGGACTGCATACACACATAATGGTGCATTACACAAGTTAAACTTGACAACGGCATGTAAGCTAGGCATAAGTAGAAAACGGAGCAAGTCGCGTCGCATCGTATCGCCACACGGTTGATTCCGCACTATCGCCGCGTGAGAACTGGCGAAGTCCGTGGGGCTGGGCGGCACTCATTCAACCACATGTGCATACCATTCATCATTCGCGTCGGATGGGCACAGACACGGCCACCTCAACTGGATCACCATTTCAGGGCGCACGTCCGGTGACTCCAGGCATGGCCCGTGCCAGCTCAGCAGTCTGGAGAGTTGCCTGGCGCTCCTGCCCGGTCGGCCCGGCCGGTCCGGCGCCCAGCGTCTCGACGGCCGGTCGGCGTCGCCGCAGCGACCCGCCCGGGGCCGGCGTGCTGGAGGCACACGACGACTGCCGTTTGGCAGCGGCGTCGCGCCGACACGGTCTCGCCGGCCGGACGCCGTGCGAGAGCGGCGCCGGTCCGGCCGCTGGACTGGGAGACGGAAGCCAGCCCCAACGCTCGGCACTCTCTCTCAAGTGGCGTATGGAACGGCAGCCGGACTGAGGAGAGCCGGTGGGCGGCCACCAGCAGCCGGGCATCCTGACGAGGGCTGGATGTTGCCCAGATGCGGGTCACCTCCCGGTTCGTCGCTCTGTAAATGAAACGCCCCGAAATATGTCATCGTTCACCGCCATCTTGATGTGTATGTGATCTTACAACATTAAACGAATGTGAAGCGGAATCAAATAAGAATGGAGCGTACCATACGACTGGGTTAGCCGGATAGGCAGGGCAGCGCGCCACGACAGTGAGCGGAGTGATCAGTGGGACCGAGGCGCATCTCAGATGCACCCTCCGCTCAAGTCCAGTCGACAGTGAGCGGAGTGATCAGTGGGACCGAGGCGATCTCAATGCACCCTCCGCTCAAGTCCAGCCGACAGTGAGCGGAGTGATTAGTGGGGCCGAGGCGCATCTTAGATGCATCCCCGCTCAAGTCCAGTCGACATGAGCGGAGTGATCAGTGGGACCAAGGCGCATCTCAGAGGCACCCTCCGCTCAAGTCCATCGACAGTGAGCGGAGTGATCAGTGGGACCGAGGCGCATCTCAGATGCACCCTCCGCTCAAGTCCAGTCGACAGTGAGCGGAGTGATCAGTGGGACCGAGGCGCATCTCAGATGCACCCTCCGCTCAAGTCCAGTCGACAGTGAGCGGAGTGATTAGTGGGGCCGAGGCGCATCTCAGATGCATCCTCCGCTCAAGTCCAGTCGACAGTGAGCGGAGTGATCAGTGGGACCAAGGCGCATCTCAGAGGCACCCTCCGCTCAAGTCCAGTCGACAGTGAGCGGAGTGATCAGTGGGACCGAGGCGCATCTCAGATGCACCTTCCGCTCAAGTCCAGCCGACAGTGAGCGGTGATCAGTGGGGCCGAGGCGCATCTCAGATGCACCCCCCGCTCAAGTCCAGTCGACAGTGAGCGGAGTGATCAGTGGGACCGAGGCGCATCTCAGATGCACCCTCCGCTCAAGTCCAGCCGACAGTGAGCGGAGTGATCAGTGGGACCGAGGCGCATCTCAGATGCACCCCCCGCTCAAGTCCAGCCGACAGTGAGCGGAGTGATCGGTGGGACCGAGGCGCATCTCAGATGCACCCTCCGCTCAAGTCCAGTCGGATGCTTTGCATTACGGCGCATGGGGACACTTGCTATTTGCAGTCTGGCTGCGACTGAGCTTTCTGGAAGAAACCCGCAATAAAAGCGTGAGCAGTTATTTTTTTCAGTTCTGCGCGATCAAGTCAACGCTCCACCAGAGCCGCCAACAAGGTCAGGTACACAGGCTAGTGCCGCTCTCTCAACATATGCGGACCTGGATATGGAGCAAGGTGTTAATAAAAAATGTCTAAAAGCCCCCTCCCCTCCCCCAATATTACACTGGCATTTACGGCACACCAGGACGAAGCACCAGGATACACAGAGAGCAAAGAAGACATGACGATCTGAAACTTTTAATCCCTGGTGGAGACCCATGGGGATCAAGTCGCTTCCTCACAAAGACCCTGCGGGGACGTTCGGCTCGACCGAGTCTAGTACAGCGGCGCGGCGGGACGTTTGTGACGCGTACGTACCAGCGGCGCGCAGCTGGCCTGGCGGCGAGGGCGGCGGCCAGGGCGGCGACGAGGGCGGCCGCCAGCGCGCCGGCGCTGAGCACCAGCCGGCTGGCTGCGCTGGCGTTACACGCCGGCGGACACACTGGCGAGTACGTCTCTGTGCGCAGAAGGCCGCGGCTCTGACATACCAGCCATGTGCAGACGTGTATCAGGTCACAGGTCAGACACGAGTCAGATCCAGCCGCGTCCCTGACACAGGCCGCGCTAGAGACAGGTACCGAGGCTCTTAAGCACAGAGGACAGTGATGGCTATATGCGGTGGCATTGCAGGCTAGAGAACCTTCCTATCAAGGCTCTTCATTCCTAATGTCCTTCTAACTTTCTATCAAGGTACTTTGGCCAGAGGTCAGACACGGATTCTATGCAGGGACACCTCAGGTCAGAGGTCAGACATCGATCACAAGCAAGGACATCCTGATCACAGGTTAGACGAGGATCATACAGGGGCATTCTGGCCAGAGGTCAGACGAGGATCACATACAGGGGCATTCTGGCCAGAGGTCAGACGAGGATCACATGCAGGGACATCCTGGTCAGAGGCCCGGCACACCAGTAGAGGCCGACGCTACGCGCGCGACGGCCGCGTCCGTCCACTGGCGCGGTCTCACTCACCCAACAGCTGCAGCTGAGCCTCGGCAATGCCCAGTCGGTTGGAGGCGCGGCAGGTGTACGAGCCGTACTGTTTGCGCTCGACCGAGAGCACGCGCAGGGTGCTGTCCGTCGTCTGGTCGGTGGTCGTGAAGTCCGACATCCTGTCGCGCACAGTGGGCCTCTTCTCAGATCAACATGGACCGGGTCCGGATGGGGCTCGAAGCCTCGATCGATGTCTTTTGCAAACACGATGCCCTCCAACCCAAGTTAGTACGGAACTTGGAAGTGGGACACTTTTAATAAAACTTTCTGGCGTGAATCGTTTGCTCAAGTGGCGTTGAGAGTGCTTCCTGCGCGTGGCCTGTCGCGTGAACAAAGACTCCGCCATCCCAGTGGACATGACTCCAGATGTATAATTCGCACAAGAAGCAAGGAATTACCGCGTCGTTAGTCACTCTGCAAATAAGTTACTGAGACGTTGCGTTCATATTTGTCCCGGGCAACGTACTTGTTGTGCTGGTTGTTGTTAAGTACAATTTTATCCTTTAGCCAGGTGATGTGAGTCACTCTGCAAATGAGTTACTGAGACGTTGCGTTCATATTTGTCCCAGGCAACGTACTTGTTGTGTCGGTTGTTGTTCAGTACAATGTCATCCTGTAGCCAGGTGATGCGAGTCACTCTGCAAATAAGTTACTGAGACGTTGCGTTCATATTTGTCCCAGGCAACGTACTTGTTGTGTCGGTTGTTGTTCAGTACAATGTCATCCTTTAGCCAGGTGATGCGAGTCACTCTGCAAATAAGTTACTGAGACGTTGCGTTCATATTTGTCCCGGGCAACGTACTTGTTGTGCTGGTTGTTGTTCAGTACAATGTCATCCTGTAGCCAGGTGATGCGAGTCACTCTGCAAATAAGTTACTGAGACGTTGCGTTCATATTTGTCCCGGGCAACGTACTTGTTGTGCTGGTTGTTGTTCAGTACAATGTCATCCTTTAGCCAGGTGATGCGAGGCGCAGGGTACGCCTCGACGAGGCACTCCAGGTCCATGTCGTACTGGAGCGCCTGAAACAGACACAGACAGTGGATCGACTCTCCAAGGGGACAGGCAACTCAGTGCCATTCACCCGGTAGGTGGCCCGATTCTGAAAAAGTTCACCCGGAAACATTCCCGTGACAGCATCGATGGACGCTCTCTCCACTCTGACATGACACTGCAGCTGCATCAGCACAGCACCTGGGTCCGAACCTCGAAGCTGACGAGGCATTTCATGAGCGGCGGGGGTACGGACTGATTCGTTCGACACCAATGGGGGTGCTTCGGTGGTGGAGCGGCTGGAACCGGTCTGCGGCGTCCAACGCCGCTCGTGACAGTGCAAGACCGATAAATCAGAGCGGAATTACTCAGCGCCGACGCCGGTCACTTACTGGGATGTTCAAGCACGTCCCTAGGCTGGCATTGAACATCCTTGCAAGCGGAGTGCCACGCAACTTGGCTACGTCATTTCGCAGTAGATTTGCATTGGTAGCTAGAGTGGCGTGCTCGGGTCAGTGGAACACCAGTCGTCTCCGTGTCCTGGTGACCCACCCTGGGTCCCGTTCGAATGCGTCTGGCCTGTATCTCCAGGTCTCCAAGCCGACAAACTGAACTCACAGTCTGGGTACAACGCAGAGTGCGTATAGTGTTGCAGCACAGGCACCACAAACCTGGTGGACTTTGGGTCGCGGCACGTTGATGACAGGTGGAAATTCCACCTCGACAGCCACGTTACGCTTGGATCCTTTGCTGACGCCGTTGGTGGCCACGCAGTAGTACATGCCGCGATCCTCCTTCTTGATGTTGTGGATGATCAGCACATTTCCGCTGGAAATGGAAGAGCTGTCAGTGCTGATGCCCGCGTACCAACACGGCGAGCTGTCAACGTTGATGCCCGTGCAGCAACACAGCGAGCTGTCAGCCCCATGCCCGTGTAACAAAACAGCGAGCTGTCAGCGCTGATGCATGTGTAACAATATACAGAGTTGTCAGCGCCAATGCACGTGTAACAACACAGCGAGCTATTGGCACCGATGCTCATGTAACAACACAGCGAGCTGCCAGCGCCGATGCACGTGTAACAACACAGCGAGCTATCGGCACCGATGCTCATGTAACAACACGGCGAGCTGTCAGCGCCGATGCACATGTAACAACACAGCGAGCTATCGGCACCGATGCTCATGTAACAACACGGCGAGCTGTCAGCGCCGATGCACGTGTAACAACACAGCGAGCTGCCAGCGCCGATGCACGTGCAACAACACAGCGAGCTATCGACACCGATGCTCATGTAACAACACGGCGAGCTGTCAGCGCTGATGCCCGTGTAACAACACAGCGAGCTGTCAGCACTATGCCCGTGTAACGACACACTCGGTGAGCCGTGATCATGTCCAATAAGCTATTAAGCATAACTGCTGTCGCGTAGGCGGATTCCAACAGCGTTATCAGCGAGCGGTGTACGCTCCCAGACCAACCGATAGATGGAGCTGCCCGTGGGCAGCAGGGCGTTGTTGTCCCTTCTCCAGGTGATTTCAGGCGGCGGAAAACCGGTGGCGTAGCAGGAGAGCACAACACGCTCCTTCTCCGACGCAATTACCGACCTGTGACAGCACACATAGGGACTTGACATCACAAGCTGGTTATTTACCGCGCTCAACATGGTAGTCCATTCATGCACATTGGTGGAAGAAGAACGTCATGCAAAAAGGCACATATAAATGAAAACCGGGGAACGAAAACTCAATGAACCTTCTTGCTCGGGACCTTTCTAATCAAATGTTGAAACCAAAGGTTGAGGAGAGGGAGGGGGCATGGGTTACACGGGACATACTCTCGCCCTGTAATACTGCAGGTAATGCCTTCCTTTACACGTGGACGTCACGACCTCAGTCAACAGACCTAAATCACAACCTCCCTTACACTTGTACACATGGACCTCACGACCTCAATCAACAGACCTTGATCGCACCATCCCTTACACTTGTATACATGGACCTCACGACCTCAATCAACAGACCTTAATCGCAGCATCCCTCATACTTGTACACATGGACCTCACGACCTCAATCAACAGACCTTAATCGCAGCATCCCTCACACTTGTACACATGGACCTCACGGCCTCAGTCAGCAGGCCTTAATCACAGCCTCCCTTACACCGGTGCACATGGACCTCACGACTTCAGTCAGCAGGCCTTAATCACAGCCTCCCTTACACTGGTGCACATGGACCTCACGACTTCAGCCAGCAGACCTTAATCACGGCCTCCCGTACAATCGGACGCAGAGGAAGTCGTCACCTGTAGTATTACAGCACGAAAGTACACCATATCAGCGAAGAAAAAGCGGCATCATCACCTCCAATGCCATACGTCAGAGCGTGCACAGCCCATGAACGGATGAAGGCTGGAAGCGAGCTTAATGCGCTCTACCGCTGCCACACGAAGACGAGTACAGCATGCAGTGAGCGGGCTCGGTGGGCGGGCGGCGCGACTAGGCTGGGCGGGGCCTCCCACCTCGTGGAGTTGTCTGAGATGACGGGCGGTAGCCGGACGCTCAGGCGTACCGTCCCGCTCACGGACGTCTGCAGGTTTATCTGGCAGCGGCACTCATACGTGGCCTGGTCCGTCTCCTGTATGTCGCTGATCTGTCGGTAACGAGCGCCGCTAGAGACGCGGCGGCCGTATAGATGGCGCGAGCGTCGGGAAAACGACCAGTACAGGACGCCGTCCGCGGGGCAGCGCGCATAAGCCAACCATAAGCTCGACCTAACACACAAGCTAAGCACAGGCTAAGGCTCACACGGAGGCTTGTGATGTGAAATTATCGTGAGGTGAATAGCTATGCGATGATTGGTGTTTTAAGGCACGCCAACTAATGTGGCTTCTCGCCCCATCTGATAAAAACGCAAAGCCGTCTTCAGACTTCCCTTGCCCTCTTGGGTTCCTGAATGTCCTAAATGCTCCGAAACTTCCTCAAGCTCTAAACGCATGCGATTCACCGACCTTGGTTGGGGAAAAGGAGTATAAAACTGTCCTGTTTGCCCCCTTCCAGAATCTTGTGACTGGTCAGTTCTTACTCTGCGCCCTTCAATAGCTCCCATTGAGGGCCGTCCTGGTAACCCCCGCTGACCTGAAGCGTGTAGGTGGAGCTTCCTGGGTCGTGACGTAGGGCAAAGCGGCTCTCGCGCGCGATAAGAATGGACTTCGTGGAGATTATGACATCTTTGCTGTTTCCTCCAATGCCTGAAGATCCGGCTTTCTTGATCCAGATGACGGGGTAGGTTCCAGCAAACTGAAACAAGTCGCTAGTTGAAGTTTATTGCAGTTGTATAGTGTTTATAACTACGACTAACATAAGAAACAGAACCAAGACTTATCGAAATAATGGAAAGCGCATTGACTGCAGCAGCACATACAAAAGAAAAACTGAGCTATACAAAACTGCATGTGATTCGTGCGTCCAAAATACAGAAGATGGACCCCTGGATGGACCTCTGCAGTCAGTCCAACTGCTGAAATACTCTCAACAAATTGGCATCATGAACAAAGCCCGACGATAGCTACAAAGCACACCGTCCAATATCAAATAATGGTCGCGGTCCAAACGGCGAACCGTACCTGGATGGAGCACTTAAGCTCCACGGGCGGCCCAAACGTCAAACCGTACCTGGACGGAGCACTTTAGCTCCGCGGGCGGCCCAAACGCCGAACCGTACCTGGACGGAGCACTTCAGCTCCGCGGGCGGCCCAAACGCCGAACCGTACCTGGACGGAGCACTTTAGCTCCGCGGTTCCTCCGATGTCAGCAGTGGTGTCCTCACTGATGTACGATATGGACGGGTTTCGCTGACTCGTCACTGTAAAACAAGGCAATGGGGTGCATTAATGGCCTATATCTCACAGGATGAGTGTCTTACCAGGAAAAAGCTTTGGTAGGCAGTCTGTTATGACGGTGCCAATAGGAAGTAGGGAAGCAGACGTTATCATGTGTCTTTTGTTGCAACGCCACAAAGTCACATAGGTAGGTAGAGCACCGTGAAATTAAATGCTGCCGACCTTGATCATAATACCCGTCGTCCCTTCACTGTCACCTCGTTGCAAGCATGCCATGCGCAGCACAATTACTGACACTTAACTGGAATACAATTGACGGCTGTGTATCATGAGAACAAGCACACGTTTTCTGCCCATAGCTTAACCAATACCAACACATGCATAATCAATACATGCGTAACCCAGTGAAACAAAGCCAGTGCGGGGGAAAACATCCCCAGCGTATCATTTGTTCGCAAAGAAAATCCGCTCGAGTTGTCGGCCAGCACAAAAGGGCTGTTAACAGACAACAGTAAATGGTGAATGATTTGTTCACATCTGCCGTCGTGCGGATTCGCATTATTTGGAGCATCCGTTCTGTAAGTTGATTAGTGTCGGAGGTTCGCTGACATGGCCAGAATTATTGTAAGGTAGGAAATGATCCGTACAGGCCAATGATTGTGTTGTTTGGCAAAACAAGGAACGGGCTAAATTGAGAACAAGCTTTTGGCTTCCGCCATTATCGACCCGATAATGACCTCACGCCAAAATATTGTGCGAGGCTTGGCCCTTTTATTTTATAGCAACGATTACAATCAACAACACCATGTAGATCATCATTTACCTTAAAAGCATTCTTGAGTCAGAAAGGGCACCGAGCGTGACTCCATTGCACCACAATGCTCCTCTCTGGAATGCACAGACTTCGTCCATAAAGCATCGTCAGTAAGTTTTAGCTCCGAACACGTGCCACACAACTAGGACATGGAGCAAGACCAATGTGCTGCCCTCGTCAGCAGCACGCCAGTCGTCCGGCGGCAGCCGACTCTAACGCCCAGCAATGTGATTGGACTCCGCTCAGCCAGCAGCACGCCAGCCATCCGGCGGCAGCCGACTTTTGCGTCCACCGCGGTATAGCAATGTGATTGGACTCCGCTTAGCCAGCAGCACGCCAGCCATCCGGCGGCAGCCGACTCTTGCGTCCACTGCGGCGTAGCAATGTGATTGGACTCCGCTCAGCTTCCCGTACCCTCAGACAGGCGAGGCCAGATGGCCAGGCACAAAGCCGCCAGCCAGCTGCGGCGAAAGAGACGAACCACCAACAGACGGCTTTTGGCCGTCCACCCCTCGGTAACGGAAGTCAGGCAGGGGGAGAGCTGTACTTGCGCGACCTCTTTTAGTGGCTGTCTTAAAAAATCACGTGACATGCGTGACGGCTCGGTCGCGCCATATTACCATGCAGGCCGAAAAAACGGACTTATGGGCGTATTTTGACCGCTGTTGGATCCACTGGTGGTTTAAAAATGTTTACTATATTCTATATTCTATATAGCTTTTACGCCGCAGCATTGCAGGCGCTGCATTGAACTTAATTGCTGAATAAAGCTCATTAGGCCTTTGCCTGATGAATCGATTCGCATGGATGCTCGATTCGGGGCGAACGTTCTTTTGAATGGAAGGGGAAGCGGCCTGCACAAGTCGTAATAGTAAAGGAATGTAATTGGCCCGGGAAAATCTCGGGTCTGTTTGCCTTTACTGCGTACAAAGCGTATACAAGGTATATCATGGGCGTGATATCATATCACGGCATTTCATGTTATGCCATATCATATCATGGCATATCATATCATGGCATATCATATCATGACGCAATATGGCAGCAGAGAATTTAGAAACACTCCCCAAACCTCCCCTCATTCATCCGCATGAAGCATCAGCTGCGAATGATGACAGGTTTCTGAGGCTCTGGTTGGTGAGGACCACAGTACCACACATGACCTACATAGCGTCTACTACTACCTAGCTGAATGCGAGCGAGCTTTGGAGAAAAAAGAACCGTATTCCAAGTAAGGAGCACAGCGGGAGACACCCTAAGGTGCTGCCAAACTCATAAGATGTGAGGCGCGCCTAATAATTGCTGTCATGCTCAGATGCAAAGACCACAGCAATAGCTTGAACCAAGATCCTCTGGTGGCCCAAATACGCGCAGCAGTGAATGTTGTATAAAGCAGTGATTTGGATACAGTTATTGACCTTGCGCAAGCTCGAAATCTCCGCCGCGTCTCTCGTTTCCAATTGGCTTGAAAACGAGGTGTTCACACAAGCGCCGTCATCGCGTATGCGCCTGCACAAACGGCACCTGACCCAGCCCCATCATTTGTGTTCACTGGCGATGCAGCGATGAAGCTTTCTTCCAGATCTCTTGAAAATACGAGGTTCCTTCCTTCGTTTGTCTTTTTTTCTCGCTTTTGTCTAATATCTATCCATTTTATACCATTTCCGTGGTTACAGAATGCTGCAAATGCTGTTTCTCAAATGTCAGTCCGCAACCAGAAAAAAAACGACAAATGATTCACGAAAACGAAGAAGAGCTTGATGTTTCGCTTTTTTGTTATATTAGATGGCATCCAAATATAATTGTTCAGGCGATGTTAAAACACAACAAATCAGAGAAACCTTTACACGGACACACTTACTTACCTTCCAACCATTTATCACATTCTCATATCACCTCTTAATTACTTCATTGCCTTTTTAACAATTTCCCTGCAGTACGCTTTAGAGGACCGTAAAGCAGTCTCAGATCACTCTACGCCCAACGCTTATATTTAGAGCCTCACTCTCCTTACTCCTGACACACGGAGTGATACAAGCCTGGGCCCTGGGACATGCGTAAAGCTAGGCCGAGGCGCCCATATTGTGATTTGCCCTCATTTGACACAACTTGGCAGGTTAAACTTAAAATATAAAGCAAAATGACCTGGGGAGGGCATGCTGATAACGAACAGAGTTATCTGATTATTCTTAATGTTTGCTCCATCAGCGCCGATGTCGTGCTGAAGGCCTGATAGAGAATGCCCGTTGGCTCGAGTCAGGCACCCTTTTACCTTACCTCTTGACGACCTCTGCTCCCGCCACATTTGGATTGGGCGCCTGATCCGTGCAGGCATTCTGTAAATTCGACCCCGTCCCTACCTGTCATCGTGCTCACAAATGATGCATTCATACGCAAGGTTATGCCGTCACGTCATAGCTGTCAGCCCTACGTGACTGTGGTAGCACAACTGCACGTGAGGCGATGGGTGACAGCGCACCACCGTTGTCGTACCCTCCCGAACGCAGTTTTGTTCACTGTCCGGTAGGTCCAAGGCCACTAGCTGTGCTGCCCTCTTAGCTGACGAGGGGCTGGAGCTAACTAACACGTTCCGACGTTCAATTGGTACAGTCATAACTCACATGTTCACTCAACCAAGGTCAGTTATCCTAGCGTCATCAACGGGGAGCCGATGTGATAAAAATACAGCATATTGTCACGGCACAGTGACGCCCGTTACGACACAAATCTTTACGGGTCGTAACCAGTTTTACAGAGGTGTCAAATCTCGTCACGCACTCGGCTTCCGCCAGGCTTCCCTTTTCGCACAACAATGCACACCCCCGGATCCCGTAGATCCTCGCTGAAAGGAGTGTGATTACATTGTTCCCATAACTTTGGCAGGGATCTTCACGAACACACGCTGCTTTCGGGGGGGGGGGGGGGGGGTGAACGCTTTCAGCTGGCATGAAGGCTTATAGGTATTGTGGGGGCCCCGCATGTCGCTGGGGACTGCCGGCTGGGGTACACCAACGCCCCGGACTGCCGGCTGGGGTGCAGCAACCTTCTGGACCACTCGGATTCAGCATCGACATCATTTTTGTCTCCGACTGAATTGCACCGCTTGTCTTTTTAGTGTCATAAAGGAATCAACAATTAATATTCATTACCGACGTTTGTGGTGTAGTTGATGCGGTTTTGGACGTCCATGTCGGAAATGCGTCCGTTCTCTTGTATTGCTTTCAGTTTCAACGAAGAGATTGAAGCCTATTGTGGCGTTTGCCGCCATTGACATTCACTGTTCACCACAATCCCCAGAGTGGAGTTACCTCAGCCTACTAACTGCTTGCTTTTCGGAACCCTTCCAGAATGTTTCATAAGTTGCTAGTTAAAAATCACCGAGTAGGTTCTGGTGCATACGCCTGATCGTGTACGAAGAGAGCGAGCCACAATGAACAAGTCCCACGAATGAGCAACGAATGTTGAGAGTTCATATGATCTTGGCACCGTCATACTTCGACATACATGAAAAATGGGTTTACCCCCGAATTTGACCAACTTTCTTCTCCGAGTAAGGGGATTTGAGGGCCCAATTGAGGAGTAAGGTGCACTCCTGTTGTTTTGCATTTTAACTTACACCATACGAGACCTTTTCCCTACCAGCCTCCGAGGAGACCTCACAGCCCACCCGAGATCTCGAAAACTAAGCTAGCTAGAGCTGCGCATAAGAAGGGATTGGAAAATATTCCTCAGCTACATCGGATATGTGTGTATGAACAGTGGTAAATGTGATCTTAGACAGGTTCGAGCTGATTGTCTCAAGTCTGTTGTCGCAAGAACCAAGCGGACTAAAATAGTGTAGACGACGGCGTTGGATGCCCACAACCCCTTGTAAAGTTTTACAGCATAGACGTCAGATGACATCGACACATGTGGTCTGTGATGAAGTAATAGGTCTGATGGTTGAAGGCAATTGTTGCATGGACCCGTCCTCATGTATTAAGAACTAAACGAGCTGACAGAACAAGGCTGGAGCCCAAAGATGTGAGTTATTAAGGTTTTAATCGCGTGTTCCTCCGACAGTCAAATCTGGTCACAAAGGTCAGAGTGCCTCCAGTGTGCTTCACTTGGGCTATTAATTTCAAAATTGCAAGTAGGTGTGTCAAAAATGGGTCAAGCACGCACTATCTCGCAAGGATTGCTGAAAGCTGTCGGACGTTTAGATTGGTG